ATATTCTTCTAGAAACTTTAATATATTTTTTAAAGATCCCAACATAGATTTTCAGCATATATTTTTATGCAGCTGCTGTCTAGTTTAAAACGTTCGTTAAATGTTACATTTATCAACTCTATTTTTAAGTTATTTTAAGATATACATTATATATTAATGAAAATACTCTATTGACTCACTGAAGTCGAACAAGGATTAATAATTTCTTTTAAATTGTACTTTGTTAATGTGACCATGATTATTGATAGGAAACTTAAGTCTGATTCTAACACAAACAAACAAACAATGAAACACTCTTTCAGCGTATCAACGACTTTTATTTACAAAAGTATTTTATACACAATGACAAGTCAGTCACACGCAGTCTTCAATACAGCATGGACACAGCGAGGTCGCTGCGCCATCGAGGTCGCGTAGGAGAGCAGCGCTGCCGCAGGAGTACGGGAAACAGGAAACAGAGCAAGGAACGGGGAGGGGGGGTGAGGGTGCAAGGGGGCTTTCGACGAAACCACTTTTATTCTGCCAAAAATGAAGGAAACTTTCACGAACATTGTTTTGGCAGGGGGGTAACGGATGGACGTAAAGGGAAAGAGGATACATCACACAAATAAAACACATCAAAATAGCATATGCGCTTGTCTCCAGTAGTTACGTTTCAACTAGTGTTCTCATATGCACAATAATTTGTGGGATTTGTACACGAAATCGTGGAATAAAATCGTTATGCAACCCACACGATTGCTCTGTTATCCCACAACATTTGCTCTGATATTTATGCATGTTTTGAAATGTAGTTAATATGCCTGTTCTCACTGATTGATAAAAATAGTTTCCTAATTCTAACGTTCTGTAACGTGAGACACCAATAATCCAGTGAATGTTATAAAAAATTAGTATATAATAACTGAATCCCCGAAAGAGCCAAAATAGCGCAGATGGAAGTGTAACGAGAAATGTACAAGATGTCAAAAGTTTCTGAGTCCATCAACATCAAGAATTATATGTAATGTAAATTACCTGCTTCAAAAGTTACTCGATTATTTATATCACTCTCTGAAAACGAAATATCATAATTTGATAAAACGGTGTTTGAGCTCATTCAATTGTACGTTCTTTGACTTCTCTTCACGTGCACTCAAATGAATTCTAGAGACAGCACATTTATATAACTTTTAATGGACTCACACCTGCCATCACTTTCCAAACTCTACAGTCCCTCATGCTGCACTTTTTTGAATATTCAGTCCGCTTCTTGAATATCTCTCCTCAATAAGAAGATGATAAGCAGACCTCGAGAGGTAGCTGTGGAAGACGTAAACACAGAGTCACGAACTCCATACACATTTAGAGCGGCACATAAAATTGCTTCCAAACACACACTGGATATGAAACACGAACACGTTCCAGGATAGACAATTACAATATCCAAACACTTGCAGAGGAAAGAGAGTGGGGTGAAATTGCACCAACAACGAGCACATGGTTAAAAATATTAATTTTATACCACCGAGAAGTAGTTTTTTTAACGACAAGAACCCAATATTGTTAATCCTGATCTCAATGAATGAATAAACAAATGGAATTTTGACAAATAACGAAAATTGTATTTCCGTCCACATGACTTTAACATATTATTTCGACGGATGTTATCGCATACAAATTGATTCACTGCACGGTAATTGGCGAGAGCGGTTATTTCAATGGGACCACGTGCCCGTTGGTGGCACCGACAGATGAAAGGGTACGAATCGGACGGTGTATCACACTCAGTTGAAACCAGTAGAACACAGGAATCCACTCTGTGGCGTCTCTCTCCTACGTTATTGTCCACACATGCTTCTTCTACACGCACGCCTCGTATAGATGACAGCAAAAATTTCCTCATTTGCATTGGGAAACTTATTTTCTCCAGTAAATAGTTCAGGTTAGTTGGAGTCGTATATTTGGGACGACTTTAGCTCGCACGCAGTTACGGTTCGCTCTATAGAATCGTATGGCAGCGCCTTTCTTAGGCAGAAGACTCGATGTTCATTGCTTGCTCTTAGGCGGTTAGCTTTCGCACAAATAATTGTACTCCGGTTTAAACATAGTGGCCCTTCAAGGTCCGGAGCTGGATGGAGTGAGAGATCCTGTTATCCAATCGAGAGCTTCGTTACGACTTAAATTTTTTGTATTGGAGCTCCCGATTGGAAGACAAAACAACCCCTCCCTCCAGCAAGTGACTTTCAAGTGCCAATATATTTAAACCAGAGTATATTTCGCCAAGTATCTGGCAGTATATATCGACTGAACAGTTGTGATATAATCATTCAAAAACCAGAAATTATTAGAACTCTCTGAATTACATACAGTAAGATGTTTTGGCTTCCAGTAAAGGAGTAAATTATTGAAAAACCACCCAAAAATCAATTTTTATCATACATGACTTTGATATTGTTTTTGTAAATATTTTTTTTGCCGAGATAACACATAAAAGCACAAGTACTGCAATCTAATATGCAGAATTGCGGAAAATCTGTTTACACTTCGAATGATATTTAACCGA